CCAGACCAGGGTCCCTCAAACACCTAGCTGCAAACATTCTAAGTAAAATTTTAGCAGACAGGATTCAGCAACATTTAAAATGGAGAACACGTCGTGACCGAGTGTGGTCTATGCCAGGAACGGAGGGTTTGGTAATTCACCATGTTAACAAACTGGAAAAGAAAAACCATACAATCTGCTCAACAGGTGCAGAAAAAGCATTTGACAAAATTCAACACTCGTTCCTAATTCAAAAGAGAAATGCTCTCTGCAAACAAGGACTAGAAGGGAGCTTCCGCATTCTGACACTGGGCACCTCATGGGGAAAGAGTGGAAGCGTTCTCCTGAGAACAGACCAGACCAAGGAAGTCTGCGCTCAGCACCTCCACCGGGCATCACACTGGAGATGCTCGCCAGTGCAATTAAGCAAGAAAAAAAATCGTACAGATTGGTGAGGAACCTGCTTTAGTCACTGACAACCCAATCAGCTAACCCAAAGGAACCTCCAGGAAGAGGCTCAAGGACTAGTAAGTGAGTTTAGCAAGGTTTCAGGACACAAATTGATATACAGTCACTTGTATTTGTATAAGACAGCCATGAACAATCAGATGGTGACCTTTAAAAAAAATATATCACTTTCTAATAGTATCCAAGAACAGGAATCAATCTGACAAGAGGGTGTAAAAGAGCTACACTCTGAAAAATATAAAACATTGGTGAGAGAGAGAAAGGCAGAGACATACGATATTCATGGATTGGGAGGTTCAATCGGCACTGTGAGGACGTCAGTTTTCCCTCAATTTAATCTACAGAATCAGTGCAATCCCAACCAAAATCCCAGCAGGTGTACACACCTCACTGCACAGTTCTTGTGAAAATGCAGAGGCCTCAGAGCCGTCCAAACAACCCTGAAAAGGACAAATAAAGTTGAGCTAACATGCTAAGAATGAGTATAAGATTAGTGCGACTAAATCAGACTGGGATTAGTGTAAAGATATTGAAGCAGATCAAGAGTATAAAGTAAAGGGTCCAGAAATACACCCATACGTCTGCAGAAATGTCCCCTGTCCAGTCAATCAGGCCGGGACAGCCCGGCTGGTGTGGCTCAGTGGACTGAGCATCGTCCCATGGACTGAGAGGTCCCGGTTCGATTCAGGGCACCTGCCCGGGCGGTGGGCTCGTCCACAGCGGGGGGCATGCAGGCGGCAGCCACCATGTTTCTCTCTCGCATCGATGTTTCCATCTCTCTCTCCCTTCCCCTCTCTCTCTCAAAAAAATCAATACAAACATATTTTAAAAATCAGGCTGGGACATTTGGATATCCATGTGCAATAGAGTAATAATAATAATTTGGAACCCTACCTCACACTACAGCCAAAAATCAACTCGAAATGGATCACAGGCCTACATATGACACGACAGCGGCAGACCCGTGGGAGAAAGCTGTTCGGAGTGCGCCGTGGGCCAAGGCTGCCTGGACCCAGAACCAAAGGCACAGTCCCTGAAAAAGCAAATCGGTGCACTGAAATGCATGAAAAATGTGTATGACTGGCCCTTTCAAAGACGCTGTCAAGAGAATGAAAATATATGACACTGGGTGGAAGAAATGCTTTGCCAAGCAAATATTTCATAGAGGCCTGGCCCAGAAGATATAAAGTACTCTCGAGAAAGGGAAAATGAACAATAAATGTACGGAAAAGTGCAGACACTTCATAATGAGAAAACAAACAACCCGGTTTTAAAAAAACGGGCAAAGATTAGAAGTGGCACCTTATTAACAAGACAAATGAACGGCAAGTACGCACGTGAAGGCAGTGGGGCCCCCTGGTCACTGGGGAAACGCACAGTAAAATCACAGGATATCAGTCTATCAGAACGGCCGCGCCTGCAAAGCCCGAGCACACCCGTGTCAGCCAGATTGCGGCGGAACCCCACCTCGCTGGCGGAAATGTAAAGGATTCCGTTGGCAATGTCTCTTTTCTTAAACAGTTAAACATGACCCTCCCACGTGATCGAAGTCATTCTCCCTCTAAGCATTTACCCACGAGAAAAGGAAATGTTTGTCCTTGTCAAGACGTTCGCATGGATGTAAATACAGCTTTGTTTTTAATCGTCAGAAACTGGACACAGCCCAAATGTCCATCAACAGTGAATGGACAAACAAGCTGTGGTGTGTCCGTGCCCTGGCAGCAGGGGGGTGCGGACCGATGCACGCGAGGCACGAATGAGTCTCACAATAGTTATGCAGGGAAAGGAGCCAAACAGAAAAAGAGTATATACGATGCTTCCATTTATGGAAAACTCTATAACGTGCAAGCTGACCAGGTCACTGGTGCTTGGGAATGGGGGAGCCAGGGAGGGAAGGGGGGAGGGAGCAGGGGCCTCGGAACACGGCTGGGCGAGGGATGTGCTCACCGTCACGCGCGTCGGGTCTGCTGAGCCGGGCGTTTCCGGTGTGCACCCTGTACCGTGTGTCGGCGGTACGTCGAGAGAGCTGGTTTGAAATGTTAAAAGGCACCTGATGAACCGGGAAAGCCCCTTGAGTCGAACAGGACAGACAAGAGGGTGATACAATGAATACATTCAATGCACTTAAACATCCACAGGAAACATGAACGCCCGAATAGGTTTGCTGTGGCGGCCATAACCAATGGCCACAGACGGCGTCTTAAACCGCAGACATGTACTGTCCCCCAGTCCTGGGGGCTGGAGGTCCGAGATCCAGGTTCCTCCCGCGGCCTCTCTCCTTGGCTTGCACACATCCGTCTCCCCTCCCTGTGTCCCACAGGGTCGTCCCTCTGAGGGTGTGTGTCCTGGTCTCCTCTTATAAAGACACCACCCCACTGAATTCATTTTACCTCAATCACCTGCTTAAAGATCCAACTCCACATACAGTCACATCCTGAGGCGCTAGGGGTTTGGACTTCAGTAATAAGTTTGGGGGACACAATTCAGCCCACAACACACCCTCATTGTGGGGGGGGGGGGTGAGCAAAAGACATAAATAGACAAGTCACAGATTCAGAAAAAGAAAACATTTGTAACCGCGTATGTCTCCCCACAGATGAGAAACCAGGTCTTACCTCCAGCTTCCGAAGGCAGCTCACAGTGGTGACAACTGTCTGCCCCGGTGTGCCAGGGCCCCCGGGAACCAGAAGTGCCTCGGGCAAGCCAGGCATGGGTGCAGGCAGGTGCCAGGAGAGTCCTCAGCCAGGTCACGAAGGCGGCAGACCCCGAGGGCCTTGGTCTGGGTGCGGACGGCAAACACTCCAGCGTGGCCAGCGAATCTGGCCCAACCACACCTTCCAGGTGACCTCGGCTCTGAGGGTGTGGCCTGCCTGGAACCCAAAGACACTCTGTGAGGTGCTGGGGAGGGGCAGGCCTGCCACCCTAACCTGGGCTGTCCTGCCTGTGCCCATCTATCTCACCAGACTGCCCACCGGCCACACACACGATCACCTGACATTCACTGAGCCTTCAGATCGGAGGGGAACCACCTCACCTGTGGGAGGCACCAAAGCAAGGCTGCCTCCCGTGCGACTCAGGGTCACGGGGCCCGGGCCCTGCTGGCTGGCTTAATGCCTGGGGCCCCTGGCACCAGAAACCCAGGGCACCCACCGTACGGAGGGGCACAGCTGACTGAGGCTGTGAGAACCCCCACTGTTTGTCAGAGCTTCAGATTTAGCTGGGCGCCCTGTTTCATCCGGCACCCCTCTCCTGGGGAAGCCATGCTGCTGAACTCACAAGGAGGCCAGCTGAGCAATGACGGGACAGACTGATGACAGAGGGGAAGGAGGAAGCGGAGGGACACACAGGGCTCCCCAGCTGCCGCGGCCTCAGGCTGCGACCCAACGCTGCGCTCAGAAATCCCAGGCCTTGGGGGAGGACGCTGCTGACAGATAATCAGAGAGGTGAAACTGAGGGTTGAGGGGTCTGCACCATAGCAGAGCCCCCAAACCCAGCACAGGGCCTCCCACCGCCCCCTCTCATCAGCCCCACACAACTTTGAACCCAAGTTCCGGCCACATCTCTGCAAGTATCATCTCTCTTTCCAGTTAGAACATGGCCTCAGTCAACACCGTATAAAAAGAAGACAGTGCCCCGGCCAGTGTGGCTCAGCGGTTAGAGCGTCGGCCTGCGGTCCAGAGAGACCCAGGTTCGGTTCCCGCTAAGGGCATGTACCTCGGTTGCAGTTTGTCCCCGGCCCTGGTTGGGTCGTGCGGGTGGCAGCCCCTCGATGTGTCCCTTTCACGTCGATGTTTCTCTCTCTCTCTCTCTCCCTCCCTCTCTATCTGAACAAAAAACGAAAAAATGTCCTCGGGTGAGGATTAAAAACAAAGAAGAAAGCACCCTGGCCTCCTGGCCTGGCCCCTCCAGCTCCATCCCTCTCCCTGGCTGCAGGTCCTCTGGTCCTGGCACAGTGGACAGTCCCCTCCATCAAGTCCCCTCCACGGGAGCCTGGAGAACAGCAGGGGACAGCCCTGCCGTGTCCGTCCCCAGCAGCCAGGCTGCAGCCCGTGTCCCCACCCCAGGTGAATTCACTTTGCCATTCCTATCAGCGAACACACCAAGGAAGAGGCCTGTGGCCCCCTCCCCACGGCTGGGCCCCTCAGAGGAGCACAGCCTCGCCTTCCTGCAGGCTCCCTCTGCTCTCCGGGAAGCATCCCCCAGGTCCTGCCCCCTGGTGCCCTCCCGGGGTCCCATGCCCACCCTGGAGGCCTCTCTTCTGCCTCTCTACATCAGCTTCCCGGAGCCCTTTTCTCCCTGTGGCTTGCTTGACACTGCCCTTCAATGCGCCCCCTGCTCTGCAGAGCGTGTGGGGCGCTGCAGGGTGCAGAGAGGAGCCGGCCAGTGTGGGGACAGGAGGCAGACGCAGCTACAGGGAGTGGGGAGTGGGCTTATCCGGGCTGGGCGAGGCTCAGGTGCGGGGAGCTCGGCGCGGGCCTGCTGCACGGCGCGCTGCGCGCCCTCCGGACGCCAGGGGGCGCTGTGCCCGAGGCCGCGGGCCGCGCACGCCGTGCTTTCAGCCCGCGGACCGGAAGCCAGCGATGGCGCGGAACGTGCTGTGAGTGGGGTGGCCCGCGGGGGGGGCGGTCACGGTCAAGGGCACGTGGACTCATGCCGGGGGCTTAGGGGGGCGCGGGCGCCGGAGTGTGGACCGAGCCGGCCCGGCAGCCTGCACCCCCCGCGGCCACGTGTGCAGACCCGTCCGGATGCCTGCCTGGGGCCCGCCGGGGCGCCCACCGCAGCCCGGAGCCCCCGCCCCGGGGGTCCGCCCTGCCCGCGCGGCACGGGGGCCCGCTGCGCCCCACAGGCCCCCCCGCCCACCCAAGGGAGAGCAGGGACCCTCGTGGCCCTGACACGAAGGCCCCCGTGAACAAGTGCGCGCGTGCGTGGCGAGGGGAGAAGTGCACGCGCGCGCGCATCAAAGTGAAGCACGGACACGTGCGCGCGCCGCGGGCCAGAGCGGGGCCTGGGCGGCGCCCCCGCCCCCCACACCCGGCCCCGGCGCCCAGGCCGACTGCGTGGCCTGGCCGGCTGCGGATCTGGGGAGAAGGCCTCGGCCCCGGAGGGGGGGCGCTGCACGGGGGGAGGGGCGCGCTCCAAGCCGGCCCCCGAGGCCAGGGACGTGCGGAGGGAAGGGAACGGGGACATGGGGCCGGCTGCAGAGCACGTGCTCGCTGGCCAGGGAGGCCCTGGGGGCCAGGCTTGCAGTGGAGCCACGCGGTGGGGTGAGGGAGAGGGTGGGATCGCAGATGAGTCACCCTCGGGGGCCACAGGGCGGGAGGGCTGGTGGCAGCCAGCCAGCTTGCCTGGTGGAGAGGGAGAAATTCAGAGATGTTCGGTCGAGGTGCTTGCGAAACACCGCGGGAGCGGTCAGGGAGGCAGGGGGGTGGGTGAAACCACCCCGAGGCCAGGGGTGGGCCCAGCGGGGGTGCTGGGCCTCCAGGAGGCCCAGGGAGCTGTGTTCCAGGGCCCCGCAGGAGGGTGGTCAGCAGCACGAGTTGTTCCCGCGCTGGGGGGTCCCAGGCCTCAGGCAGGGGCCTTGGGAGGGCCTGGTGCTCAGCGTGGGGGGAGGAATACACTCACCGTGCCCCGCGTGGGTCTCCCACCTAGACCCTCACACTGGGCCTCTCTCCACCCCGGGCTAAGTGTGCCCCATCAGGCCCCAAGTGGGGGTGGGGGTCTTGGGGAGATTGGAGGTGTGAGCCAGTGCCTCTGCGTGCGTACAGTGACCCGTCTGTGCCCCCCCTGCAGTGCTGCCATTGGTCACCAGGGGGGAAAAAGAGCCCACTGCATGGCCATTTGTCCGCCTGAACTCCCGCAAGGGTAACACAAGACAGGCCGTGTACCCTCAGACCTGCCTGCCTTCCCAGCCCCTTGCCGGTGCCTACCCTTGCACAGCAGCTGTGCCACAAGGAGGTTCTGCTGGGGTGACTGCCACCGGCTGACTTGGTCACCGGCACACCCCAGGTAGATGGTACCCAGCCGTTCCGTTCGGTTGTCCAGGACTGAGCCCCACTGTTCCTGCCTCAGTCATGCCCCAGGTGCCCACTCAGCCCTGCCTCCTTCAGGACGTCCCACCCAGGTCCTCTCCCTGGCCCCCCTCACCTTCCCCAGATGTGGGAGGCAAGGGCCAGCTTGGACTCTGGCCACACTGAGCCCCTTCTGTGGTGCTGGTGCTGCAGATCGGTCACCAGGGGTGAGTGAGACTCGGTGACCCCCCCCAAGCACCACCTTTCACCCAGACCTGCCCTGGGCTCCTGGCCTGCTCGTCTGGCCGGAGCTGGGTCCACTGGGAAGTGGCAGTAGGTTGAAGTTACAGCCACCTCTGCCCACCCTGGGGGATTTCGGGGTGGGGAGGCGGTGTGGTGAACTTGGGGTTGGTGAACTGCAAACACCATGTTCCCTGAGCCTGTGGTCCTGCCCTCGGGGGGTAGCAGGGACCCGGTCCCCACTGCAGGGCCTTGGAGTTGGTGGGTGACCTGTGCCCTCAGCCCCATGTGGGGCCCACTCCTGGGACACCGACAGCCACGCTGGGGCCGTGTGCCTGTGGGACTTTCCCTTCGAACAAGCAGGCTGCCAGCTGTTTGGGGGTGTGGGGGGCACACTCTCTGTGGCCTCTGTTTATTTCTGGAGTAATTCATTGGCCCATTCTAAAGGCCGGCCTCAGGGGTCCCACATTGAGCAGAACCGTGCATGAGTGAAGGAGGCTGTGGGGCCTTGGGGTGCGTGGGGCGGTGGCCTACAGAGCTGCCCCTTCGCTTCCCACCCTTGTTAACCTGGGGAGCAGATAGGGGCCCGCTGGGGGGCTTTCTGGACTCGATGTGGACATGGATCTCTCCCTCACAGGTACCCTCTGTACCAGCTGGGCAACCCCCAGCTCCGGGTTTTCCGCACCAACTTCTTCGTTCAGCTGGTGCGGCCTGGCACAGCCCAGCCCGAGGACACGGTGCAGTTCCGGATCCCCATGGAGTGAGTCCACAGGAACTGAGGCTGGGGGCACCGGCTTCCCCCCACTGGCAAACCCTTCAGGCAGCCCCTCGAGGCTCTGCAAATATTGACAGAGGCCTGCTGTTCAGGCTGTCTGGGCTCTCCACCTGGAGAAGCTGGGGGGCGAGTCTGAGACGGCTGCTCTCCTGCCCCCTCCCCCGGCATCGAGTCCCCGGAGCTGCTGACATAGCGGCCGAACCATGGTCCTCCTGTGGCTCCTTCCAGGCCTCCAGTACCCAGGGGGCACTGCCTCCCTGCCACCGAAGCTACAGGGTGCTGCTCTGAATTTCAGGGTGTCACTGCCCCAGGCTGGGCCCAGGCTTGGCTTGAGCTCTGGGTGAGCCTGCAAGGGCAGGGGCAGGGGCAGGAGAGGCCCAGGGCCTGGGTGTCAGTTGCATTCAAGGCGGAAAGAGAACTGGGCCTAACCCACCAAACGCAGTCCTTTTCCGAAGTGCCGACTAGGACCTCAAGGCGGGGTGGCAGCTGTGGAGGGCCGGGCCGGGCCGGGCTCCCGGCAGCCAGGGGGCACTCGCAGACCGTCACTTCCCTCGGGAGAGTTCCTGGAGCTTGGCCCCTTGGCCTCTCATGAGCGTGGGCCAGTGGGAGGGTGAATGGGACCGACCCAGTCCAGGGAGCCTGCAGCCTGGTCCCTCCGTCACCCCCACAGTAATGTGTCAGTGCTGGGTGGGGACCTGCCCCTGGCTCCGGGGTTGGTCCAGCCTGGCCGCAGCCCTGGCTTTACCCTGCTGTGGCCGACGAAGCTGTACCCCTGCCCGCCCTGCCACCCACTGGCTCTCACCCCAGAGGTGGGGCTGTCTTTCATCGGCCTGGTTCACGTGCCTTTCCTCCCTCACCTAGGATGACCAGGGTGGACCTGAAGAACTACCTCGAACGCATTTACAGCGTGCCCGTGGCCTCCGTGCGGACAAGGGTGCAGCACGGTGGGTGCCTGGGCCGGGCTGCTCCCTGTCACGTGGGCCACACCACTCTGTGCCACTGACCCACATCCCCGTGGCCACTCTGTGGGTCTGGTTCTTGGCACAGGGGGAAGCAGAGGCACAGGGTGCCCAGCTGACTTCCGGGGTCACACTCCTCTCGGGGCAGGGCTGGCCTCGCAGGCCACTCAGCGCCGCCAACGCTTCCTTGAGCCCCTGAACCCTCCTCACGGACCGTTTCCCCGTGAATCTGAGAGCCTTCCGCCCGGGGTGAGGAGCCAGGGAGAGCCCTGTGCTGCCCGGCGTTGGCTTCCTGAGTCACGTTAGGAGTTTGGTTTCCAGCAGAGACTGGCCCCGGCTCTCGGGGAGCGCCGTCTCGGGCTCGACGGCCGCCCTCGGGCTGGGCCGGCTGGCTCCTGCAGCCCCGCCAGCTCCCGCACGGTCCTCTCTCGGACGTGGCTCCCTGGACCCGTGGGACCTAACATCTCGTGCTGGCAGTCACATTTTTCTCCCCCCGACAGGTTCCAACAGGAAGAGGGACCACAGGAATGTCAGGGTGAAGAAGCCCGACTACAAGGTGGCTTACGTACAGCTGGTGAGTGCCGCGGGCAGCAGGGTCCTGGGAACAGGCGCGGGTGTGACCGACAGTGACCTTGCTGGGGGGGCCGTGTTTGTGCAGCAGCCGCTGCCCGGGGGCCCAGGAAGGCCTTGAGGGGCAGGATCTCAAGGTCCACTGCGCTTAGTTCTAATCCACAGCGAAACCCGTGAGGAGCTGGGGTTCAAAGCACAGTTAAGCCAGTGGGAGGGGACGGGCACTTTGGAACTTCTCAGGGGCCACCCTTGTCGAGCCTTTGAACTTTGAACGTGCTCCGGGCAAAGCAGGCCCACCCAGGCCCGGGGGATTTGGGTTCTGACAGAAACCAGATCACTCGGAGCCTCGGGAGGGCCCGTCCTTGGATGGTTCCCAGGCGGACGGCAGCCCTGCCACCAGTACCACCACTGCAGGGCCTCCGCTCAGCCCCTCCCCTGCGCACCGCGTGGTGGGCACCCGCACAGTCCCCGTCCTCACTGTGGCTCCGGCCTGGCCGGGGGCTCCGGGACAAGGGTCCGGCCACATGAGCCTTTACTTCCCAAGCCCCGGGCTGTGGACCGTCAGACACACTCTCTCATACCCCCTTTTCTGCTTTTCTAGTGTGGTGGGACCCCAGACGGGTGCACGTTCTCAGAGTGCTTCCCACCAACGCCCAAGGCCCCTCGGTCCCCAGGCAGGGTCTCCCCAGGGTCTGTGAGCTGCCCCTCTGCTGTTGGAAACCTGAAAGGGGGGGTCCTCCAGTTTGTCCAGTTTCTGTGTAAACAGCCCAGTGGAGGCGCCCACGGGCGGGCGGCCACTAGATGGCAGTAGCGTTGTTGTGAAACCCTCGCCCCACAGACCTATCTGGGGCGGCAGGAGGCAGTTTGTTAAGAGACCGAGTGAGCGCGGCAGCTTTTCTGAAAAACAGTCACAGCTGTTGTCCTAAACGGGGGGCCCCGTAATTATTTGGCCTAATATTTGCTGTGCATAAAATCAGCCAGCGCAGGGGGGGGCGCCGCTGGCCTCATAAAGCCGCCTGTGTCCTCTGTGTTGGGTCCGGCCATCCGTCTTTGTCACGGCAGGCTGGTGGACAGCCTATGTGTCCACATTCGCCACGAGGCCCTTCGCAGGAGAGCTGTAGTTCCAAGTGGCTCTGGAGTCATCCGAGCCTCACATTTTTCCCCGGGCCCCTATCCCCACCCCCACTCATGAAAACCGAACTGAGCAGCGCCGAGATCTGGTGTCTGCGGCTGCCCCTCCGCCGCCTTTGTCAACCCCAGGCAGCGAGAAGCAGGCCGCTTAACGGGGAGCACGGTGTCCCCGCTGGGCAGAGTTCCTGCAGCTCCAGAATTACATGTGTGATGCCTCCCACCGCCCCAGCTCCTGCAGACCTTTGCCTGTGCCCTTTGAGGGGGTCCCTCCTCCGTCCCAGGCTGCTGAGGCCGACCCTCCTCTGCCGGAGGCCTGTCCCTTTGGGCCCCCCTCGGGGCTTCGAAAAACAGAGCTAATTATAAAGTACACAGAGGGTCGATCAGAAAGACAAATTAAATCACCAGATTTATTTTGAGTTGGCTGCTGCAGAAAAGCCGGTCCCACCGGGTGGGAGACCCACATTTTTCCCTCCTCTGACAACCTGATAAACATCTCTTTGGCCCCGAGTCCGAGCTGCAGCGAGGGCCTCAATGGCCCACACAACAAACAGAGCGTTGACCTGCCCGCGAAGCCTGGTGTTTACACAGCGCACAGGAATGAATGGCGGCCGCCGCGGGGCCCAGCGGGAGCGCCTGTGCAGACAATGGCCCGGGGGCTGCAGGGTTTCTCCACTTTTATGACGTTTTTCTGCTTTCCTGTACTTTTCCGCAATCAGATGGCCCTCTCTTCCCCGGAGGCTCCAGGGCTTTCTTTGTGAAAGTACCAGGTGAATTCCTTAGCAAGGGGCTGCGTCGGCACCGTCCGCCGCCCCGGCCCTGGTCAGAAACAGAGAATCCTGTTCACGGCTTCCTCCGTGTCGCCCCCCCAGCCGCTGCAAACTGCCATCTTTGTATTTATAGTTAAAATGTCATTTCGGGTTTCCCCCACCTCAGAAAACCAGCAGAATCACCTCGGTATGTTAGACACACACACACACCCCCTCTGGCCAGTCAGCCCTGCATGTAAACTATTGCCTTTGGTATTTTACAAAAGGAGGGAAAAGGTTTTGAAACGTGTAAGATAATCCCCCAGCGGGCTGGCTACCGAGTGCCCCTCTGCTTCTCATCAGGGCAGCCCCCCCCCGTGACCCGCACGCATAAACCGCGCATTCTCGGGGGGCGCACGGGCCAGGTCAGCCCGCACTTGGCCGCCTGCCCACATCCAAATTTCTGTACAAAACAAGGGTCTGCGAGAAGCAAGCGTGCTGTGCTGACTTCCCGGCCCAGAGTCCCCCAGAAACAGTGCCGTCCCCTGCCTTCCCTCCCTGCCGGAGGCACCCTCTTCTCCCACCCTGTCGGGGAGCTGGGATCCTGCCTCCCCCACACCGGGGAGGACTCTGGGTGGACCTGGCGGACGTGGGCACGCTGAACCTTGGGTGAGGGGCGGAAGCCACGCGGGAGGCTGCCTTCTGCACACTGCTGCCCGACCCCTTCTTTGTGCTGTGTGCTGGACTGGCAAGGCGCTGTCCTGGGGGTGGGCTTTATGTGGGTGAAGGCCTGCAGGTATTCGGGGCGGAGAGGTTTCCGGCAACACCACACAACATGGAGCCCGTTCCCCCAGCCCCGCTCCAGCCCCGCTCCACCAGGCCTCCCAGGCACCCCGAGAGAGACGGCATTGTGGGAGCACCTCTGACCCAGTCCCGCCGCCAGGCAAAGGCCAGCCTGGCCGCCCCAGGGGTTTCCCCGGCAGGGACATGGCTTGGGGACACCCGCGGGGGAGTCAGGCCCTGGTAGGTTGGTTGGGGAGGGTGGCAGGTCCTGTCCACACCGAGGGCGGCGCCGGCGGCCGGGGCGGCCCTGCTGAATGCTTGTCCTCTCCACAGGCGCACGGACAGACCTTCACGTTCCCCGATCTCTTTCCTGAGAGGAAGCCGAGCCCCGAAGGCGACTCTGTGGACAAGGACCTCCAGCAGCAGCTCCTGGAGGAGCAGCAGGCCAGGCAGAGCCAGGACCCGCGGCGCGGCGGTGTCCCCGAGTGGTTCGGCCTGTGATGGGCCGGTGGGCGCAGGGCTGACGGCTTCAATAAAGTGCTGCATGCCTTGAGGGACCGCGGGCTCCGTCCCTGTGTCCCGGCCGGCCCCTCCTGCTAGTCCCAGTCGCACCCTGCTCCCGGCCTGTGCACGGCAGCCTGGCACCCGTCTGGCCCACACCACACATGTCCAGTCCTGTCCCGTGAAGCTGGGACGAGGCTGAGACCCTCACTGCAGTGCAGGAGTGAGACGCCCCTGGGAAGAGTACCCAGAAAGCAATTCCGAGCACCCACACAGCCGGGTGGTGAGGAGCGGGTTTCGGGAGCACGGAGCAGGGTGTAGCTGGGGCGCATGTGCCGGCCGGGTGGCCGGCTGAGCCGGGGCTCCAGTGGCGGTGTTAGGGGTGCCGAGTGCAGGAGCTGCCGAAGGAGGTGGTGTTGAGGGGATGGTGACGCAGTGAGGCCGTGGGGCGGGTGTCAGGAGGCAGCCCCGGGTCTGGGAAGGGTGCTCGGCCCAGTGCCCCAGAGGACCAGAGCTGGTCAGTGATGGCGGCACCGTGGGGACGAGCCGGGAGTGGGGAGAGCACTCAGACCGGCAGCGGGGGGTTGAGTGTCCAGGAGGCCAGGTCCCCGTGTCTCAGGTTCCTAAGGTCCGGCCACAGCTCTGCTTGCTGGTCTGTGAATCTGAGCTCTCCCAAAAGCCCCAGCGGGCAGCCTGGCTGCCCCCTGGGCAGCGGAGAAGGAACAGGCCGCGTGGGGGCCAGGACTGTGATCGCGAGTGTGTGTAGGGTTGACTCAGACGTCAGGCCTCGAGACCTGGGCAGCACGCACAGTGGCAGGCACGACGCAGCCCCGCTGTGGCCTGGGCCCCGCTCTTCCCCTGCGGGGGCTTCCGGGGGAGACAGAAGTGGGGAGCTGGCTCGGCCACCGCTCCGCCTCCCCCAGGGGACACCCGGACAGGATGGTGGCGTCAGTCAGGCACCCCTCCGCCTGCAGGGTGAAGGTCCGGGCAAACTCCGCCCTTCAGTGTTGATTTAGAGTGACGGGAAGGTCCGGAAGTAGACCGGAGACCAGGCAACGGTATTTTCCTTAGAGAAATAATTCATGGGGCCCTGCGGCCCTGAGGACCCCGACTCAAGGCCGGGGGAGGAATCTCATCCTTCACGGCTGCCCTTCCAGCCCAGCCGCCCCCACACGGCTCCTCCCTGGGCAGCCTTGGTCTGCAGACCCCCCCACCGCGCCCAGGGCCCCCGCAGCCTGGGAGCCAACTGCCTGCTGGGGAGGAGGGAGGCCCCAGCCCCGGGGCCAGCAGAGGGGCCAGCAGAGCCTCCGTGGGAATGCGGGTGGAAGGGAAGGGTCCCCGCCAGGCAGGAGGACAGGGAATGCGGGGGTAGGGAGCTGCTTGCAAGAATCCAGGAAGTGGGCCTTCAGCTGGGGGCTGGCTAGCTGCCCCCCTCCTCACCCAGACATTCCTCGGGGAGGGAGAGGACCAGTGCCTGAGACCCTGGCCTCACCCCACTGTACCCCCATGCATGGGGACCAGAGGAAGGCCTCCTGGCGGCCCCCCAGCCTGGGCATAAGCCTCCCCGTGTGACCCCCACCCATGTGACCCAAACAGCCTGTTTGTCCTGCAGCGGGAGCTCCGTGGGCCCACCTTTGCTGGAAGTTCTAACAAGGGCCGGGAACGAGAGGGGCCCTGACCCATGGGCCCGGGGCTCCCCCCACCATGACGCCTGCAGGGAGCAGGGGTGAGCAGCTCCCGGGGTAGGAAGCGGGCTGACGGGGGAGAGCCCACAGCGGCGCCCAACCTCTGTGATGTGCATTAGTGGGTTCTGTTTACTTTGCAGGAGGGAGAGAGGCCTGCTGGGGCCGGGGCTGGGGCCAGGGCTGGGGCCAGGGCCTCGGGGCCACCGGGACAGCCCAGCTCTGCTCCTGACTCCCCCGTCTGCGCCAATGACAGCGGCAGCATTCCGGGCTCCGCGGCCCACGGGGCACATCCCAGACCCCCCAGCAGCTCTGGCTGAGGCCCACCGGGGTCTCTGGGACCCAGAAGCAACCCATCTGGCCGGTTTCTCTTCGGCGTCTGGTTTTCCTCTCCAGGGCCAACAGAGTCCTCCCGGGCCCCTCGCTTTGTCATGCTCCCGACAAGTCCCCCGAGCGACTGATTGCAGGGGGCGCCCCCTCCCGCCTGCCCAGGCCCCTCCAGTCCCATGTGAGGTTGTCCACCGTCTTCTGGCCTCTGCTCCCCGCGGCCCTCCCTCAGCTCCGGCCTCTAGCAGGGGACCCTGGTCCAGGGACCCCCCCAGCTCTAAAACAGCAACAGAAGCTAAAGAAATCAGGCCCCTTAAAGGTAGCTCTGGGCCACCATGTCTCGGGGCTCCTTCCTGCCCGGACCTTCCTGTGATTCCAGATGTTCCGTGAGTGACCGCAGGCAGCACTACCAGGTAGAAAGCCCCGCGGCCAGTCCCTGGGGGTTTGGAAGTAGGGTCCGGCCTGGTCAGGCAGGGTCCAGGGGTCTGGGTGGTGGTGCCTCTGCCACCGTCACCGCTGCCGTCCTCGGCTGGACGCTGCGCTCCTGACCGGCCGGCGTGCGGTGTGGGGCCCGCGGTGTGTCCCCGGGCGGAAGGCCGGCATGGGCGTTCCTGTCTCTTCAATGGCTTTCTTGGGAGCCAGCCCGCCTACCCTACCGTACACCCCCCAAAGTCTATCGTTTGATGCCCGAAACACGCACCCTCACCATGATCAATTAGAGGGCGTTCTCACGCTGCCCTGCCAGCGACCCCACACCCCTGGTCGGCCAGCCCTGCCAGCTGCCGCCCGCTGCTGCCTCCACGGGCTCTGGCCGTTGTCAGACACGGGTCACCCCCGAGTGGCCCTGGTGGCCGGCTTCTTTCACTCAGTGCCGTGGCTTCCCGGCCCGTCCACTTCACTGCTGAGCGAGTTTCCGTGTGGAGGGCACCCAGCCTGGGTGCCCACGTCCCCGGGTGGGCACAGGCTGCTTCCATGTCACAGACCACTTTGCCCGGAGTGTCCCCCTGGGGCTGGAGAGGCCCACCCTCCGTGGAAGGGTCTTTCTAAGTCCCTAAGATTCCCAAAGGCTGTGGAGAGATGGGGGCCACGCCAGGACTCTTGCCATGCCAGACAGTGTGCAGGGCACCCCTCCGTTCCTGCTCCCCCAGCTTCCTGGATGCATCTGCTTTCCGGACAGAAGGGGTGAGGGCTTGATCTCCATCCCAGGAACCTCTCTCAGGTTTGACACCCAGCTCAGCCCAAGGGAGCTGCACCCCAACAGGCTCAGCCTGGATGCCTGTGGGGGCACGGAGGCCACCGGCCTTGGACGCGGCCGACCCAGGCCCTCCCCACGTGGTCCGTCAGGCGACCTGCGTAGCATCTGCATTCGCTCCTTCCCGGCTGAGATCATCCACAGCCCCAATCCCCCCAAATCACTTCATTATTTCTTTGTAAATAGGGCTTTTCCTAGTCAAAATAATCAGCATTTTTTTGTTGCTCTCACATCTGGCTTTGATTGGCCCCAGCCTCGTGGGGTGGATGCTGGAGCCCTGACGTTATGACGAGGGGAGAGGGGCCAGCCTGCTTTCCTTCCCGCATGAGACCGGGCGTGGGGGCTGGGGTGGGGTGGGGACCCCAGCCTCTCCACACAGCTGCGTGCTCTCCCTGCCCGGCTCTGCAGGATCCTGGTTCCACCTCCTCAGAGTTAAGGCCTGGGGGGCTCTCCCTCCACAGGGGTCCTGGACATGCATGTGGCAAACATCCCGGCTCCGGGGGCCCCTCACCCCAGGACAGAGCGGCCCCTCCACCTTCCTCTCCGGGACCCTGGCTGTCCCCCTTGTCAGGGGACATGCACAAGGAGAATGCCCCAGGTCCCTGCACTCTTCTGCATGAAGTCAGGGCCGGAGGTGCCCTGTGAGGATGAGGCCTGCAGGTCCTGGGGCAGCCCAGCACCTTCCCTCCTTCGGAAACAGGAGGCTGGGAGGTGGGGGTGTCTCTAGGTTCCAGCAGGAACCCCTGTCCCTTCCACATGGGCATTGGCATGGCTCTGTGAGCGCCCCCGAGTGTGTCCTGAGGCAGCCCGGTTTGGGGTGCACAGGGGACAGCCCTGTGGGTGGACCTCAGCCCTGTTCTCTGACCTACTCTGCCAGCTCTCTTTCCCTTCAGCCCTGCAGACCCCACCCCGTGTCCCAGTGCCGGCCCCTGCCCCAACCCCAGGCCCCTGCCCCAACCCCAGGCCCCTGCCCCAACCCCGGGCCCTGCCCCAACCCCGGGCCCCTGCCCCAATCCCGGGCCCCTGCCCCAACCCCAGGCCCCTGCCCCAACCCCAGGGCCCCTGCCCCAACCCCGGGCCCCTGCCCCAACCCCAGGGCCCCTGCCCCAACCCCAGGGCCCCTGCCCCAACCCCAGGGCCCTGCCCCAATCCCGGGCCCCTGCCCCAAACCCGGGCCCCTGCCCCAACCCCGGGCCCCTGCCCCAACCCCAGGCCCCTGCCCCAACCCCAGGGCCCCTGCCCCAACCCAGGGCCCTGACCCAACCCCAGGGCCCCTGCCCCAACCCAGGGCCCTGACCCAACCCCAGGGCCCTGTCCCAATCCCGGGCCCCTGCCCCAACCCCAGGGCCCTGTCCCAATCCCGGGCCCCTGCCCCAACCCCCGGGCCCCTGCCCCAACCCCGGGCCCCTGCCCCAACCCCAGGGCCCCTGCCCCAACCCCAGGGCCCCTGCCCCAACCCAGGGCCCCTGCCCCAACCCAGGGCCCTGACCCAACCCCAGGGCCCTGACCCAACCCCAGGGCCCCTGCCCCAACCCCGGGCTCCTGCCCCAACCCCAGGGCCCTGCCCCAATCCCGGGCCCCTGCCCCAAACCCGGGCCCCTGCCCCAACCCCGGGCCCCTGCCCCAATCCCGGGCCCCTGCCCCAACCCCGGGCCCCTGCCCCAACCCCAGGGCCCCTGCCCCAACCCAGGGCCCTGACCCAACCCCAGGCCCCTGCCCCAACCCCAGGGCCCTGCCCCAACCCCGGGCCCCTGCCCCAATCCCGGGCCCCTGCCCCAACCCCGGGCTCCTG